CGCCTCACCCCAGACCGCCACAGGGATGGAGAGTGCCCGGTCCGCTGCCGGGACCCCCGTTCTTGAGGCGGGACTTCCCGCTCCTACCTCCACCTCCACACTGTATACCTCCCACCCACCCTAACCAGCCTCCGCCCACCCGACCCAAGCCTCCAACCCGCACCACTGCAACCTCCACCGGCCCCACACCAATCACCCAGACCGTCTCCACTTCCACAGACCCTCCTCCTCCACCCACTCTGCGGTCTGTTTACACGCAGACTGACCCTGATCCCCATCCATGCTCTCAGAGCAGCTCCAGCCTATACATCACTCCCTCCAACCCCTCAACCCGATCATCCGCTTCGAACCCAAGTTCAGGCCCAGCCTCAAACACACGGATCCCTCGTCCCATCTCGCCTCCAAAACACGTCCGCTCACGCTCTTTATCTCCCGTTCAGCGAAACATCGAATCCCTCCACCAACCTCTTCCCTCCCCTCTCATGACACGCGCCTCCCGCAAACGAAAGGCGAGGGATCTGGCTGACCAATCCAACCCTACTCCAGTCTCGCACTATGTGTCAGAGACTACTCATATCAACCGCGCAGTTCCCTCTAAATGACGCACTTGCTACAATGGAACACACGCGGGCTGCTTACCAAGTGGCCGGAGTTCAAAGGTGAAATTCTCCGAACGAACCCGGTCCTGGCTGCACTCCAAGAGACCCATTTTCGAGATTCAGACCAATGGTTTAAAATCCCAGGGTACACTTGGCATACACATAACGTTAACGAACAAAACAGACGAGGAGGAGCGGCCATCCTCATAGCCAACAGCGTCCCGCACAATAGAGTAGCTATCAACACACCACTAAATTGCGTTGCTATACGTTTAAGGATAGGCTACACACAAGTCACCACACTGTCAATACCTATACATACCACCTTGCCATGCCAACCCAACACCACAGGAGCTGGATGACTTAATCAGCCAGCTCCCAGCACCCTTACTTCTCATGGGCGACGTCAATGCACAACACCCAGCATGGGGAAGCCCATGCAGCGACTCCCGCGGTAACACCATCGAAGCAGCCATAAACAAACACAACCTTACTGTACTCAACACAGGCGAAGGCACCAGGCTTAACCTAAGGGGCATCGACCGAGCCATAGACCTAACGTGCTGCACAAGTTCAATCCATCACCTATTTGATTGGGCAATATCGTCAGACCCAGGGCCCAGTGACCACTACCAAATTAAACTTACACTTAGTCCGAGGTCAATTCGCCACGTTAAAACCTTTACTCCAGGCTGGAATTTAAAAAGGGCTGACTGGTCGAAATTTGAGGAAATGGTGAACCTCTCACTGGGTGACACAGATCATCCAGACATTTCAGTAATTCTAAGAGCCATCGGCTCCGCAGCACAAGCCAGTGTGCCCAAAAGTAAGCAACCACCCAAAAAGGCATCAGCGCCATGGTGGACTCCAGCCTGCAGCCGAGCAGTAGCAATCAGGAAAAGAGCACTAAAACAATTTAAACGTTGCATATGCGAAGCGCACCGCCTAGCGTACAAACAAGCTGCTGCATCTTGCAAAACTATCTTTAAAACAGAGCGCACTAACTCTTGGCAATCATTTGCATCCAAATTCAATCGCTTCACACCAACAGCAAAAATCTGGAAGCTTCTTAAAGCTTTCCACCTCAAACGCGCACCCCCAGGGCCATTCCCTTCGCTTAAAGTAAGAGGGCAGGAAATTACTGACCCAGAGCAAGTCATGATGGAATTTGCGAAACATTACCATTCAGTGTCAGCTAACAGCTCATACCCACCACAACTCAGGTCACGACTAGGAAATCTTGCCAATAGCTGCGACTTCACCTCCAACAACTACGAAATTTATAACAAACCATTCACACTACACGAGTTATCACATGCCATCAGCAAGTGCGGAAACACGTCGGTTGGGCCGGACGACATACATTACGAATTTTTCCGACGCCTCAGTAAACAATCATTAACGTACCTCTTAGCGGCCATTAATAACCTCTTCATAAACCACTCCTACCCGACCACTTGGCGGGAAAGCACTATCATACCAATTTCAAAACCAAACAAAGACAAGCAACATCCCGGTGGCTATCGCCCCATCTCACTCACTAGCTGCGCCAGTAAGGTAGTCGAGCGCATGGTCAACACACGCCTCATACACCACCTGGAAACAAATGACCTGCTCGACGAACACCAATGCGGCTTCAGGCGCGGGAAGTCAACAACAGACAACATCATTAGACTCATCTCAGACATTAGCACAGGATTTTATCGCAAACGGACAACAGTAGCAGTATTTCTAGATATCACAGCAGCTTTCGATCGAGTACAAAAACCGGCAATTATTTACAAGCTTCACCAACTAGGACTGCGCGGACACCTCGCTCACTTCATCAACTTTCTTGCGGACCGAACCTTCCAAGCTAGGTGCGGCACAACACTCTCACCAGCAACATCCCAGGATCAAGGTCTCCCTCAAGGTAGTGTTCTGTCACCAACGCTCTTCCTTATTATGATCAACGACATGTTCACCACAGCAAAGTACTATGTAAAATACTCACTTTTTGCGGACGACGTGGCCATTTGGGCTACACACCACGACCTCTTCAAGGTCGAAAAAGACGTCCAACTTGGCCTGAACAAAATTGCATTATGGTGCAAAGAATGGGGCTTCACCATATCAACCGAGAAGTCCGCCTCTGTAACCTTCACTAGAAACCGGAAAACCACTAACACTAGGTTAAACCTTAACGGCAAAGCAGTTAAGGAAGCCAAAGATTTCAAATTCTTAGGAGTCCGCATAGATCGAAATTTAACATTTTCTAAGCACATCAAAGACATCAAAAACAAGTGCGCAAAGCGCATGAACCTCCTCCGAGCGCTCACAGGCACAGACTGGGGCGGCGACCGGAAAACCATTTTGCAACTATACAAGGCCATCATCAGACCCATTTTAGAGTACTGCAGTATAGCTTATCACGGAAGCCTAACAGATCACCAGATAAAACAAATAGAAGCCATCCAGAACACATGTCTGCGCATTGCAACCGGAGCCATACCCAGTACACGAAACGCGACACTTCTGGCTGACGTCAACATGTTGAATTGCCAGGAAAGACGTATGCAACAACTTTGCCGATATGCCATTAACGTTAAAACAACTCCGAACCACCCAGTGCAACACTGCTTCCGGCCGATAAGCAGACTCTGATGTCATAGACATTCCCGATTACGACACCCATCACTAAATGATCAGTTGAGCACCTGCTTATCTAAACTGCAATTTACTTTACCGGATCTGGCACCCAGGCCTCGAGCAAAACCCTTCTGGCTAAAGGCACCACCCAAAATCGAATATCTTTTCTCTGGAAACAAATCAGACATCACACCAACAGAAATGCAGTCGAAATTTAACGAATACAAAGCACAGCGCCCAAACAAAACATTCATGTACACTGACGGCTCAAAACAGGAACACAAAGTAGCTTTTGCACTGACGACTCCACACTTTGAATTAAGCAGACGTTTACCGGATAACTTCTCCATTTTCACAGCTGAGGCCATGGCCCTCTTATTCGCCGTCAAATTATGTACCCATGAAAAGCTTAGTAACGTAGTAATCTGCACAGACTCAAAATCAGTCTTACAAGCCCTGAGTAACACCACAAGCCCAACACATTTTATCATTTCTAGCATTCAAAATTCTATCCCTGAAAAACGAAATATTAAATTTCTTTGGATTCCTGGACATGCTTCTATCTCTGGAAACGAAAAGGCAGACAAACTAGCAAAGCAAGCATTGCATCTAGCAGAACCACTTGCAATACAGTACCCGGCAGACGACTGCAAGGCCATCCTCGAACTTCACATACAACAACTACGACAAACGACATGGGACGAGATAGGACCAGCACACATGCACTCAATCAAACCCCGATTAGGCTTCTGGACGACCTCAAAACAAAACACAAGGCAAAAGGAAGTAATGCTCACCAGACTTAGAACCGGACGCACCAGACTCAACGCACCATGGCTAGAACCACAACAATATAACATTTGTGCCTTCTGCAATGTCAACACAGTGCCTACAGTTCAACACATCCTGCTAGAGTGCTCTCACTTCAACCTCCACCGACAACACATCATTGCCTTCTGTCGGCAGGAGAACGTAACGTTGAGCTTAGATCAGCTTTTAGGTGACAGACACCCAGAGCTATTAGCACTTCTCTTCAGATATTTACAAGACACTAAGCTAACAGGAGCACTCTAAAGCACACATAAACGAACAGTTAAGTGCCGTGCCCAACATCTCAACAGTAGACTTAGCGGTAATCACACTCGAGAATTCTCCTGGCTCCGCTGTGCGCTGGTCCAAGCTTGGTGCCAGTTACGCCGGCTGACACCCAGTACACCACTCAACCGTGCGCTGGTCCAAGCTTGGTGCTAGATACGCCGGCTGATACTCACTACACCACTCAGCCGGGCGCTAGTCCAAGCTTGGTGCCAGTTTCGCCGGCCGACATTCACCACACCACTCAGCCGTGCGCTGGTCCAAGCTTGGTGCCAGTCGCGCGCAGACAGGAGAGATTCAAAATTAAGAGAGGCCAACTGGTCTTCACCTCTTCAAAGTTGTTAAATGGCCATGCAGTCTTGTCCCTCAGACAATAATTATTTAGGCCCATGCACCACCCGGCATTGTAGGGTGAACGCGACCCCCGGCGTGAGAGGGGGTGTGGGGATTGCCTCCTAACCCGCACGATAAAGAACCCATGGTGTAGTTCGTGAAGAGTAGGCCATGTGCCGGCACCATGGCAAAATTAATCCCAAATCGAATTTATTGTCTTGATGGAGGACAAAATGGTATCTTAACAACCCTTTAAAGTAACTATAACGTAAAACTAATTCTAACAGTAGGTAAAGTACCTAAGTCCCAGGATCCCACTCACCTCCCAAGAAACCCACAACGCGTTACCGAACACTTTAAAGGTCAAAATTTTAGAACTCACACACTTAATTGAAGTAAATGAGCACTTGCAATATCAAAATTCAAGCAATTCGATATTTATCTAGCAAACAGATTCTTTACAGGCGGCCGAATGTCCAATGGACAGGGACGCCTTAAAACCTCATTTTCACTCACTCACTCACTGAGAAAAGGATGGCACGCATGCAATCAGTCTTGAGCATTTTCAGTGATGAGCACAATGCCTACAAATGTCAAAAATCATGCGCACGTAAAAGCGTTGTTACTTATTTGGCTGTAAATAATTCACCTCAGCAGAACAAAGAGAGGACAGACAGATTGTCTGTTAGGTCAAAAAAAAGACGTCACATCATGAAAGAGGCACTAATGGCTGTTACAGGCTTGGATATGTGTAATCGCAATGCAAAACCCCATACAATTGCTTGCCTACACAAATGCTGCGAACTCGCGCCTGCTACTCGACAGTTTCACTGGCCGGGTAGGCTGTACCGCATTACATGCCTGACCGGGTAGGCTAGCCCGCAATACAGCTGCACGTTTTTTCCTGCCGGGTGGACGTTCGAAATGGTTATTGCCGCTTCATCTGTCACTGATGATGCCTGGTGATGCAATGTTTGCTGAGTTCGACACATTGCTGGTGTATGGTCAAGAGTTTGAACTCTACACGTCATGCGGTGTCCGGTCGTTTTGTAGAGTTGACTAAGCCCGTCCGTCGCAAGCTCTCGTTGAAAACCGCCCGCCATGTCATTCAGAATTCAGTTATCATCGTTCAGTCCCTGTAACAACAGATTGCACATTTCATGATAATTAAAAAAATGGATACAAATTAATCTCAAATAGGACACAAATAATGAACCGATTTTTATTTATTGAAATGACAGTGTTGTTGATTAGCCATTACATTACAAGGAATTGCAAAAGTAAATCAATTTTATTTACAGTAATCAGTGTTCATGGCAAAATGAAATCAATTAAAAATATTCTTAATTGTAGATGGAGCAGATGGAGCAGCAGATAGAGGAACATCAATGCTGTGCATTTTTATCAGAAGGTCTACGCCTTGTTTTTACGAGTGCACCTTGCATCACACTAGACCATCAACCGCTGGTACGCCGTCCATCACTGCACGCACTGCATCACTGCAGGGACCTACCGCGACCGACGTGTCTTTCTGAGCAGTCCCGTGGCCTCTGATTCGTTGTCCCTGACGAATGCCGAGCGGATGTCGGGCAGCTGAATCTCGGGGTCGTCACTGGGCGGCTGCAGCAGGTGGCTGAACGGACCAGTGATCGTGTCGCATTTGTGGAGAATCTCGTTGTCGAGCAGGTTAACCCACACCTCCCGGACGGAGGCGTTCAAGGTCTGGAGAGGTAGAGACTCAACTTAGTGTTACTGTTAACCCGCGCCCCACTGGGGTCTGTGTATAACACGCCCTACTGGGGGGGGGGGGGGGCTATTCATAGCCCCCCTCCTAACTCCGAAACTACTGGGCCGATCGTCAAAATTCAAACGGCGTCTGATAGCCCCGGAAAAACTGTCGAGCGAAACCTAATTTCATTGACCTCGAGGTCACCGATGACGTCACAGGTCAGGTCAAAGTAAAAATTATTAGCACTTTGGCTTGTTCACATTTTGGGCTCTGGCCGCCGTCTTACAAGTCAGATCAGGCTCATTTTTGGTTTCCACACTCGTGAATAGATGCTCTAGATACCTTGAGGGTACCAAACTTGTACTTTGATTTTCAGGTCAGGGTCAGGTCATCACAGGTCACGAAAATATTATAGGACGCCATTTAATTGCGTCCCAGAAAAGCTATTTCTGGCACCTAAAAGCTGACTCGCCCCAAAATTGGTCCTCAGCACCTATTTGGTGGATACCAGCACCAATCATGGAAAATGACCTTAATTAGCTGTTTCTGGCACCTATTCATCGGTACGCCTTGCTCTTTTTTCTGAATCTGGCACAATGCTGAGCGTAGCACCAATCTAGTAGAAAAATGAACTACTGGCTGGTAGAATCATGTTGTTCTGGTATAATGACCCCTGGAGTCTAGCCTAAAGGTTGCCAGTGCAGCTACACTCTAAGACAGCCCCGTAGTGATCTCAGCATTGTATATGACGTTTAAGTAAGCAAATAATATTGATTTGTTTGAAAAAACAATGTCATTTAAATATTTAAAAGTATTTATTTGTAATGCTTAAATGGAAACATTTTTGTGAGTAATTGTCTCGATTTTGACCATTAAAACGGGTATTGTATTTTTTGACGTCATCAAATAGCTCCAAAAAAGAAATGTAATGTTTTCATTCCGTTCAAGGCCGCTGAAGAAACGCGGGATCTTGCGTGGGACATTGTCCGTTGTTAGCCGCGCAGAGTTGTGCCGTGGTTGTGCCTTTTTCATCCGTTTCTTACTTATGTCATATGTGTGCATGAAGCTTTGATTTTGTTTTTGGTTATTGTGTGGCCGGTCAGTCAAACGCCCCTGTAGAAACCGGATGCTGCGTTTGATCGAGATGGAGTCAGGCGATGATCATGCAGAAAGCTAATAATATTGAAAAGAGGGCCGGTTGCGTGGCATGTCTGTTCAGAGTTGACATTTTGCTTTACTCCAGTTTATGACCTGAGAGCCTGGCTGGAAGTGACGGATCCAAACTTTTCACGTTAAAATGGCTGAGGGTGCAATAATCTCTAGTCTCTTCTCTACATAGCGGGCTGGTATAGGAGCGTCTTGCTATGCTGCACCATAGCTGGCTAGTGATTTTCTTTTGGCTAGAAATGGCATTAATCATTATCTCCACTGGCGAAAATGGCACTTGACATCACCGAATGCAACGTTCATGTTGTTAGGATACATAAAATCAGGAAGATTACGCGAATTAGGTAAGCAAACGTGGAATAAAATAGGTGCTGGATGTTTTGGTTTTGGTGCTGAATCAGCAAAAAGCAAATACGGAGTTCAACTAGACGATCTGGCAACTTTAGGCTGTGTGGAAGCATTTAGGTGCCAGATTCAGATATTAGGGTCGAATAAGCATTTTGGGGCTGATCAGCAATTAGGTGCCAGAAACAGCTTTTTAGGGACCAGAAACAAATATTCCCCAATATTATATCATGCGTCGGTCACGTGACACATGTTTTATGGTCCATTTAGGCCATAGATTTCGAATTTGATGTCGTCTGTGTCATTCGAGGTCATTTTGAGTCGAATTTAGCTTAGGTCAGGTCACTTTCAGGTCAAAAAAGGTCAAATTTTGAAGTTAAATTTTTTCAACAAAAAAGGTGTTTATTGGATGCAGTTTGAGCTCAGTAACACGATGGTGCCATTTATATTGGTGTACGATGTCAAATACGTACTGAAAAAGTGATTTGAAAAATTAATAATTGTGAATTTTTTGCAATAATGCGTATAACTTGGCCATTTTTGATGATATTTAGCTAAAACTTGCAAGAGTTAGTCATAATCATGCGTTCTGTCACATATATTCCGGTTTTTTCCGAAAAAGTCAAAAACTTTTTGAAAAAATATAAAAGTATAAATTTTGAATACTATTATATAAAATTTTCGACATTTTCAAAATTTTGAAAATCCGAGATAGCAGTTCGATAGCGCGGTCAATTTTGAGTCCTTTCATGCAAAGAAATTGGATCTAGCTTAAAAACTGAGCTCTTGGGAGCGATTGCCGTGGTTCAATGTTTTGCGTCGAAATCGGACGAACATGACGTCACTCTGACGTCATTTCCGGCCGACCTATGGTAGCTACGAAGTTCAAATTTTGACACAAGGTGTCAAATTGATGCAGCCGAAGGTACTGAAAGTTTGGCGTCGATACGTCAAGCGGTTTGGAAGTTATTGCAGAAAAACGGGAGGGGGGGGGGGCTATAAATAGCCCCCCCCCAGTGGGGCGCGGGTTAAGGGCTGGATTGGATTAGACACGCATACGAAAATAGAATAAAGACGGAACATCTAAGTCTCATCCAGTTATCATCAGTGAAAGGAAGGGCATTTTACGGTATACCCATGCTTTTGCAACGCGGTCCACAGATCGGGTACCTAAGGTAAGCAACTCATATTGAAGCTATGCAAAGTTAGCCATGACTCTAGTTACTCACGTAAACGTCGAATTATCCACACAGACGACTTCGAGTCGGGTGTCACTCCGGTCGTACCGGAGCCTGTCAATCCGGTGGAAGGGCACGGCCAGTTGGCGGTGCGGCTGGTCATAATACACTCTAAACAGGCGACAGGTAGTGAGGTGGACCGTGCCTCCGGCCACTGCCTCCGTCCGTAGACGCTCCTCACCCTGCCACAGTCGCAGACGGACCGGCGCCACCACCTCGAACGAACTCTCCGTTCCGTCACCTCCGTTCAGTAGTTCCGGTGAGCTGTCCCCGCCACCGCCGTCTCCGTTAACGCCGCGGAGGTCATCGTCGAGAACGACGGGAGGAGCGCGGGCGGCGGCTTTCGACGAAACGTCCGGCGAGGGGATGAGCTCGATGGAAGAGTCGTCTGATTGCTTGTTGGTGTCGACAGCGAAATGGTCCCATTTTGGTTCTAAGTCGTTTGATTTTGGTGATGTTACGTCTGCTGTAGGGTTAGCCGTGTTCGACTCTTCCATCTCGCTCGGTGGAATGAAGGGCGGGGAAAGTGAGGGAGTGAGAGGGTCATACTTGGGGTCAGACGAAGAGTTAAGTCGGTGATGCTCAGTACTGGTCACCGGCTTGGGCTGGATGGCAATAGGTGACCGGAGGCTTGGGATTGAATTCTTGACATCCACTGGTGGACTGGACGAGTATATTTCAGATCCAAATTGATGAGGTGCGCACACAGGCAGGGGCAGAGGGGGAAAGGGAGGGACCAGGCTGCCGGGGTCTGAGATGGCCATTCGGCGACACTCCTCAGAGAGCTGCAGGTTGTCAATGTCGTCATCAGTCAGCTGCAGGGGTGGAGCTCTGGCCGGTCCGGTGCCGCCGGGCTGGACGGATTCGTCGGCCCCGTCGGACGCTGGATGGCAACCCTGGTATGGCGAGAGGATGAATGGCATTAGCAGCATGACACCATCAGGCAGAAACAATGACATTTACGATTAGCATAATAAGCTTCTGCTGTCGATGGGGTCCATAAAGAAAATTTTGGCCAATGCTGCTTTCCTGGGATTCGACAAATACATATGCAGCCCGCAGCCGCATAAGTAACAACGTTTGCACAGTGATGCAAATGGGGTTCACGAGTGGCCATAAATACCCAAAAGTCAAGTTTACCAAATCGAGTTAATTGCGATATGGCCGAGTAGACAAATGTTTGGGGCATCTGAAATCACATGGTTTTCATGCTTTTGTCAAAACCGGCCTCGTGTATAATCGTCAGAAGTCGTGACATTTTCTAGGTCGTAAAATGACGGTCAGACTTTTGCAAGTTCAAACGCCGCTGGTTTGCGTTCATTTCGAACAAATTGAAAAAATTATGCATGGGAATGATCCCCAACGCCTTCTGCTTCTAATGCCGGGTCACAAAAAGCCGTATCTCATTTGCTTTGGCGGTAATCTGACTATTTGTTATCATGTTGCAATCGCAGTTTTTTTACTAAGAAAAAATGCTTTCGTTTCACCTACAGCACTTAACACAGTATGTGCCCGTTAGTGCACCATACCATAGCCTTCCCTAATCATTTCTGAGTCGCATCGTGAAAGAATTAAGGCGCTAGCACAGGGCTGACCGGCGCTACAGAGGTTTTTGCCGGGGCGGTCCAGGTCGGGTGCCGCAGTGGGCGCGCAGTGGGCGGGTGGGTGCCGCCGCGCGGCGTCCGGACGGCGCGGCGGCGCGGCCGCCTGGGCCGCCCGCTGCGCCGCAGCACCCGACCGTGCCGGACGAAAACTTCTGTAGCGCCGGTCAGCCCTGTGCTAGCGCCTTAATTCTTTCACTATGCGACTCAGAAATGATTAGGGAATGCTATGATATGGTGCACTAACGGGCACACACTGTGTGAAGTGCTGTAGGTGAATTTGAAAGCAAATATTTTTGGTAAAAAACTGCGGTTGCAACATGATTACAAATAGTTAGCTCACCGCCAAACCGAAATAGATACGGCTTTTTATGACATAACATTAGAAGCAGCAGGTTTCGGGGATCATTTTCATGTATAATTTTTGCAGTTTGTATGACATGAACGCACGCTAGCGGCACTTGAATTTCAAGTACCTGACAGTCATTTTACGACATCGAAAATGTCTCGACTTCTGACAATCCTACACGAGGCCGGTTTTGACAAAAACATTAAAATCATACTTTTTCAGACACCCCAAACATTTGCCTGACTGACCATATCACGATTTATTCGATTAAGTGAACTTGAATTTTGGGCCTTTTTCGTATTTATGGCCACTCGTGAACCCCATTTGCATCACTGTGGTTTGGCTGGTCTCAATAAACAGAAAATTTGACTTCCATTATTTCCTGAAATAGAAAGGCAATCAGCAACTTTTGAAACGTTAACAAAATTGTAAGTTAAGATGCATGTAGGTATTTGGCTTTGAAGTTTGATGCTGGGAAGGTCAGTAGCTTATGCTTTTAATATTGATCACAATAATCCTCGCTACAACGCCCGACAACAGCTCTCAGCCTCACCTTATTCTTGATTCCCGATGATGCGTCCATGATCCGGCCTGTCGAGCGCTGACCTCTCCGCCCCTACCCGGCCCAGACGGCAATTCATCGGCAACTGACCCGCCTCGGGTGACCCAGAACGCGACCCCGTGCCCACCCCGCCGCGCCGGCTGCGCGGTCAAGGTCATTCAGTCCGGAGGTCTCCGACACTGGCTTTTACGAGCCAGAGGTCTTCGATACTAACTGAAACATCGGCCGACTCAAGAGGTCGATTGGAGGCCGAGAAGACTAGCAACTATTTGTAGTGTTTCGCCAAAAACGATATGTTTGTACGGCAGATCTTGCCGCAGATTATGCGATTCCATTCCGTGTGCGCCCTGTCTAGAATTAAAATACACTTGCTCTGAGGAGGCATGTTGACAGGCATTTATGTTTTTTTTTCAGCCTAAAATGAATAGCAAGCACCTATATCTGTCCATCTAAAACAGTGGAATGGTCCAGCCAATCATATTTTATTACAGAAGTGAACATTATTATCAAATCATTCACGCCCACAACAAACCACATATTTAAAGAAAAACTCTTATTCATTATAACCTCATTTACAGAGGTGGAATTTTTAAACCATGCAAACCAAAATAATGTCAAAGCCAGCTACCTCACTCAAGAAAAGGTCGCCTTACATATACCACGCCCAGCATACGCACGAACGGTGAAAACGGGCACATTGACCGGGCAAATGCACCTATATATTTACCATGCTCCACCCTGCTTCAGATTCGTAGAATAGGTACACAAAAAACTACGTACCTACAATAGGTACAAGAATAGATCCATAACGCATTGTCTGGTGAAGGAGTAAAACGCTTCTATAATATTAACCGGATACACAAATTAGGTGTTTTATGAATCTGTTCACGGACATCCCTGTTTGTTCCTTAGACGTTTTGGCCTCGCGTCTAATCGGGCCCAGAGCCGATAACCAATTCACGGTGGAACTAAATGCGACCACAACGGTGTTGAATGTTTATAATTTAGGCTATTAAAATGTGAATGCCATCAATAAACACAAAGTATTTACAAGTGAGCAGCGGCATATGCCCGCTGGGAGGAGGCGGTTACTTATGGAGCCTCCTCGAACTGATGCTCGGGCGGGCCCAGTGCCAAGCCGACTGGGGTCTGGACGGTGGCGCCGCGTAGCGGCCGACCCTGTAAGCCGCCTGCCGTCTGTGTGGGGAACTAAACCGACCGAACTGCCGCTGGGGGAAGCTGGCCGACTGACGGCGCCTAAACTCCCTGCTCAGCACATTGGGCATCTCCCTCACCCCGTCCTCTGTGATAATTGTGGCAGTGTTTGGGTTTGAAATGGGTTTAGAAAAATGTTTGAAACTCCCGTCCGAGCGAGATTGTTTTGCTCCTGTTTTAGACTGAAAGTTGATGGGACCACTCGAGAGGTGTGCTTTGAAAATCGTGCCAGTCACTGGGACGACATTCGTTGAGCTTTTTGTCTCAGAGTTCCAAGCTGTGGGATATGACGTTTTGGTTTTCGGATCCACTCGTTCCACCGTGTATCGTGAGTACTTTCGGCCGGGCGAGCGACTTTCACTGGAGGCTTTCGCTTCCCGATCAACAGGTGACAGGCCGAAGCTCTGCACGTTTTTCGCCTCACGATAGCCCTGTGACCACTGGCCGCCTGTCGGCTGCCACTGCGGCCTGCGGTACGCTCCCGCGGAGGCAGCGTCGGCCGGCCTCACCGTGCGAAGGGTGGAGGGGGAGGAGCGCAATGTGTGGTACAGGTCAGCGGTACCTGGGCGGTACCTCTGGGCTACCAGAGCTGCGGTACTCCCATCCGATCCACCGCCTGGTACTCGCGCTGCGGACCCCGCCGATGCCCTCCGCAAGTCCTCTCGGTAGGCATCACCAGGGGATGGCACTGTAGACACACGGCTGCTGCTATATGTGTCGCTGGCACTGAAGCTGTCCGAATTCACAGGAGCAGCAATAACACTGGCGACATTGGTAGAAGCGGATGCCACCACGGGGTCACTTGATGTGCTGGCTGCGGTGGATGTCTCGGTGGAGGTCTCCCTGGAGTTGGACAGCGCCAGGAGGTTCTGAAACCTGCGCAGGTAGCTGTCCACCGTCTGCTTGTTGTACGGCGTGTACGTGGGCTGCGGCACGTGCGTCGGCGCGTTGATGATGAAGCTGCACCGGCGGCCCTGGCGGCACCCCAGGTTGAAGGTCGGCAGCTTCTTTCCTCCCACCGTCGAGACGGCGTCTGGGGCCGTCTTGCGCGTGACACTGGTTCCAGTGGGAGGTTCCGCCAGGGGCGCAGCGTCAGTCAACTGGGTGTCCTCCCCAGTGGGGCTCTGCTCAGCAGCACCCGCATGTGAGCTGGTGGCTGAAGGTTTGTTGCTGGTCTGCGAGGATGGCACAGGTCGGACAGAGCTGGGCCGGCTGGGACGGGCCCCACTGACCGGCCTGGAGTTGGTCGGGTGTGAGCTGGTCGGTCTCGAAGGCTGGCGGTGGGAGGACGAAGAAGGTCGGCTCTGCGGTCGGCTGGAGAAGATGAAACTCTCGCTGGAAGCCGGGTTGATCCCGGAGGTCCCAGTCGGGCGGGGGTAGCTCGGTCGGACGTAGCTCTGCACCGCTGGCCGCCTCTGACCCTGACCGGATATGTAACCTTGACCCGACGTGGAGTAACTCGCGGTGGAATGCCCCTGACCGGCCGTCGAATAGCTCTGGCCTGCCGTCGAGTAACTATGCTCATCCGCCGGTGGACGCGTCACTGGCCTCCTCTGCGCCTGACCGGACTGCGACGAGCCTTTGAACCCAAACGGCCTCGACGTCACCACGAACGAGGGGAGCTTCACCGGCTTGCCGGCACTCGCCGTCTGCCCGGTGCCCTCCACTCGGTTACTGTGCGTCCAGTCGGGAGAGGTGGTCGCTGCTGGCGGCCGTTTGAGCGACCCGCTGGAGGAGTGTCCCGGGCTACTGGCGGAGTGGACCGGACTACTGGCGGAGGGGACCGGCCCCGCCCCGCCCGGCCGCCGGGTCCGGTCCGAGGCGGTGATGATCCAGGCGCCGGGAGCGCGGTACAGCTGCGTGGGCCGCTCCGGGTCCAGCTGGACATTCAGCAGGGTGCTGGGGGAGGCGGCCGGTAGCGCCAGCAGCCAGCAGGCCAGCAGCGGCAGCGGCAGCCGCATCATTGCTCCGCCGGGAGGTCAGCCTGCCGGAGGAAAAAGGCGTCAGTAGGGGCCAATTAGAACCAGTGTGCGTCAGTATGGGTCACGTTGTGTCACTGTCAGAATGAGTAATTCAGAGTTATTATCTCCCATCTTTGAAGCTTCCTATATCCTCGTATAAGAGAGACTCTGCAGCGGGAAACCTAACATCCGGGGCTAGGAGAGTGGGCTTTCAGAACCCCTCCAGGCATTAATGTTACACATTGTAGCCAAAAATGTTTCCAAAGGCCATGATAGGCTGGACACAAATGACGTCAGAAAGTCGGCAGGTAACTTTCTGAGATCTTAGGGTGGGGGTGGGGTGGTGGTGGGAGGGGCGAAAAGCCCCTTCCCCTCTACGGGAGGCAGGGTTTGCCGATAGACCTACCGGGCGCGGGCACGATACGATACAATACCTTCACTTTTTGTCTGGGTGAGATATATGTAGGATTTGACCTCAGGTCAGGGTAAGGTCAAAGCAAAGCTACTCGCCTCAAGAAGCTGGTTGAATGAGATCATACTTATGGAACATGTCTTACATAGATGACGCATGAAGAGAAAGTATGATGTCAAATGCTAGGTATTATTTATATATTTTTTTTTGTATTAACGATGAAGGTGCGATGCACAAGCCAGCAATTTCGAAAATCGACTTTTTCACGAAGAAGTTATTCAATATTCATGTACGTCCGATTGAAGAATATAGAAGAGGTGCTAGATAAATTTCCAGTTTTATCTCACTAACACTTAAATCGCAGCCTTTTGCCAAAATCTTGCAACACATAGGTATTGTATGGACTGCAGCATGGTTGAAACGACTGAAAGCTCAGACAGTGTGACAAACGAAAAAAAAAATGGTGGAAGGGCCACAAAAGAGCCAACTGATGAAATGATATACGTTCACGAGTGTCGGATAAAATTATCGTCGCATTAAACGCTATGGCATCACGCTGTACAAGCTTCTTGATCTTCTCTCCTTCCTCTCTTTTTCTCTCTGTCCTATATTTCTGGCCGAAGCACTTGATGCCCACGCAAGGAACAAGAACGCCGTCGGAAACGGCACGACATACCAGACACTTAAAAGCAGTAATTAACGTTTATTGAAAGCAGTTATGTTTGAAAGCATGTTTGCTGAAAGCAGCAATAGACCGACTATATAGGTCTGTTCAATAGATGAGCGCACATGGGAGATTCCCAGATTCCAGGTGAGCGAAGATAAGCCTATCTCAAGATGCCGCTATATGTAACGCGGAAGCCGTTCAATGGATAAGATCTTATAATAAAACACACGTAGGACAGATTGCGATGCTGGCCATTCTAGCGGAAGAGACAAGCTTGTACCCCAGGGTAGGTATATTTAATGAGCTTATACCCGACATGGGATGGTATATTGATCTACTTGGGAGAAGCCGCTTGAGATTTGTGTGCTAAGATGTCTATGGAATGGATGTGCGTCATCGACTTCAAACAATATCACGCATCTTATATCGTCCACCGGTAAGTGTCAAGTTCAAAACATACAATTATTGTGCTGTCTGAGAAGAGGAAATATTTTCCAAATCACGCGCAATTGATGCATCGGCATCCTTGCAGGCGGCTGATACCATGCCGCGACCACACCACAGCTCAGACCAGCTGACGACCGCGGGTGCGGCGCGTTTGCCACAAGCCAGCTAGCAGCCCCGGCCGGGCGGCGCACCGGTGGCGAAAGTGGCGCACTCGGTATTGTCGCTGCGCATGCCGGCGTGTCCGGCGCACTGCGGCGTTTGTCTGGCGCTGCCCTCACGACGGCCGTCCAGCCGCTCGTGAAGGCCCGCACCGTGTCGCCTAGGGCAGATCATCCGACTCTGCGATGATGGAGTCGGCGTGACTCGATGTTGTGCGGGCCGTGCCTGACAG